GAGCTGAGGGAGTGTCGCACTGTTGGAGGGTCAGTGCTGAGGGAGTGCCGCACTGTCGGAGGGTCAGTGATGAGGGAGTGCCGCACTGTCGGAGGGTCAGTGCTGAGGGAGTGCCGCACTGTCGGAGGGTCAGTGCTGAGGGAGCGCCGCACTGTCGGAGGGTCAGTGTTGAGAGAGTGTCGCACTGTTGGAGGATTTTGGAACACTGTACGTTACTCTGTCTGGCCTTATAACTCAGCAATGTAGGTGACTCTTTGCTGGCATTTGCAATGACTTAGCAAGATGCTCACTTCAAGGGCAATCAGAGATGGGCAACAAATATTATGATAGAATAAAGCACTGAATCTCTATCACAGACTTGTGCGGCTATAAGACTGCTTTTACAATGAACACAAGCTGCTCAAGTGGAGCCAGTTGTGAGCACATTTTCAGAGAGGTCGCACTATGCTGTTTGCCGGTTTATCCGACCAACAGGTTTGGAACACAGTCATTCGGCGAGGTAACTTACCCCGAGCCTTGTTCTTACTTTGGCCTTGATATCCCTCTCGGCAAGACGCAAGAGTGGAAAACACACCGAAGATCTCAAACCGGTTGTCCGCAAAAACAAAGAATTCCGAATCTGCACTGGTGTCCCCAGAGAAGGCATGCTCGGCCAGCCATAACTGATCCAGGGAGACAGACTGGGGAAGAGAGAGGGGAGAGCCAGGGGAAGTGACAGCGACTGCTGGACATCACACTGATGATTTGTAAACTTCATTTCGTTTGGTTCCAGAGCGTAGCTTTTACACGGCTGGATTATTTTTAAGATAACTAGCCCAGCAATATTTGTGTCCCTTCCAGAAAGGTTGTATTACCGTGCCCAAGGAAGTTGGTTGTGCCTGTTTGCAGAGGCTAAATGTTCAGTTTGGACCTGGAGTGTGGTTTGACGGCAGTAAACTGATTAATTATTAAGAAAGGAACCTGGAGGAGTGGGACATTTCCAGAGTCCCCACAACACAGTGGGAAGAACACTGAGAAACAGCTTAGATAAACCTAACACCCTCTCTCTCTGGCCCATTGCCCATTTTCAATTCACTCGTGGTAACATGGGCATCATTAGCTTCGCCCAGCAATTATCAACTATCCCTAATTGCCCCTGGAATAAACAGTGGGCCTACTTCTTGAACCACCTCAGTGTTCCCTCCCCACTACCCGTGTGTGGTATAGGGACATCCCTCACAGTGTGCTTAGGGAGGGAGTTCCAGGATTTTGACCTCAGAGACACTGACGTAACAGGCCAATTTTGTTCCCATTCAGGATGGTGAGTGGCTCAGCGGGGAACCTGCAGCGGGGGCTGGGGGGGTCGGTGGGCGATATTCCCATGTTTTTGTTGCCCTTGTCCTTCTAGACAGAAGTGGCTGTGGGTTTGGAAGGTGCTGTCTAAGGATCTTTGATGCGTTTCTGGAGATGCTACACACTGCTGCTACTGAGCGTCGGTGGGGGAGGGAGTGGATGTTTGTGGATTTGGTGCCAATCAAGCGGGGGGCTGCTTTGTCCCTGGATGGTGTCGAGCTTCTCAAATGTTGCTGGAGCTGCTCCCATCCAGGCTAGTGGGGTGTATTCCCTCACACCCCTGGCTTGTGCCTCGTCGATGGTGGGTCAGGCTTTGTGGGGAGACAGGAGGTGAGCTACTCACTGCAGGATTCCAAGCCTCTGACCCGCTCTTGTAGCCACTGTTCACAATGGCTGGTCCAGTTGAGTTTCCAGTTAATGGTAACCCTCAGGATGTTGATAGTGGGGGATTCAGTGATGGTAACACCATTGAATATCAAGGGGTGGTGGTTAGGTTGTCTCTTATTGGTGATGGGCATAGCCTGGCATTTGTGTGGCGTGAATGCTACTTGCCACTTGTCAGCCCAAGCCTGGATATTGTCTAGATTTTGTTGCATTTGAACACGGACTGCTTCAGAATCTGAGGAGTTGCAAATGGTGCTGAACATTGTGCACTGACGATTATACACATCTCCATTTCTGACCTTATGATGGAGGGAAAGTCATCGATGGAGCAGCTGGAGATGGTTTGGGGGCCGAGGACACTACCCTGAGGAACTCCTGCAGAGATGTCCTGGAGCTGAGATGACTGACCTCCAACACCCACAACCATCTTCCTATGTGCCAGGTTTGACTCCAACTGGTAGTGAGTTTGCACCCCCTCCCCTCCCCTCCCTGATACCAATTGATTCCAGACTGGCTTGGGGCTCCTTGATGCCACACTCGGTCGATTGCGTCCTTAATGTCAAGGGTTGTCCCTCTCCCCTCACTTCTGGAACTCAGCCTTGGTTCAAACACGGACAAAAGGTGAGCGAGGTTATTGCTGAGTAGGTGCTGCTTGATAGCACTGTTAATGACACCTTCCATCATTTTCTTGATGATCAAGAGTAGACTGATGGGGCGGTAATTGGCCGGGTTGGATTTGTCCTATTTATGTATAGCACACACCTGGGTAATTTTCCACATTGTCGGAACTGTCCTGGGACAGCTTGGCTAGGTGGGAGGACGTTCTGGGGCACAAGTCTTCAGTACTATTGCCAGAATGTTGTCAGGGCCCGTCGCCTTTGCAGTATCCAGTGTCTCCAACTGTTTCTCAATATCACATGGAGTGAATCGAATTGGCTGAAGACTGATATCTATCATTGCTGGGGACCACTGGAGGCTGAGATGGATCATCCACTCAGCTCTTCTGGCTGAAGATTGCTGCGAATGCTTCAGCCTTATCTTTTGCACTGATGTGCTCAGCTCTTCCATCATTGAGGATGAGGATATTTGTGAGTTGGTTAATCATCCAACACCGTTCATGACTGGGTGTGGCAGGACTGCAGAGCTTAGATCGAATCCATTGGCTGTGGGATCACTTTCGCTGTTCGGTGTGCAAGTAGTCCTATTTGGTAGCCTCACCAGGTTGACACCTCATCTTCAGGTATGCCTGGTGCTGCTCCTGGCATACCCTCCTGCCACTCTCCATTGAACCAGGGTTGATCCCCTGGCTTGATGGTAATGGTTGAGTGGGGGATAATCCGGGCCGTGAGGTTACACATTGTGCTGGAGTACAATTCTACTGCTGTTGATGGCCCACAGTGCCTCATGGATGCCCGCATGTACAGATGACAGAAGGTATAATGACTATCACGTGTTCCTTTGTTTAAAATGATTTTTTTAATGATATTTTTTCACAAGGAAGGAATCAGACAAACAAAATGCCACATACAGGTTGTGGGAAAGACAGTCAAACATTTTCCAATCACTAACTAACAGGGAACGCAACGTGAGGATATATTGATTTATATTAAATAGAGATTGCAAGTGAACCAGCTCTCTCACTGTTAGGATCCAACATCTAGGGCCGCATATAACAGGGACCCCTCTATCTCTCCATCTCCCGCCCACCTTCACCACTGCATGATCTGATGCACTGCACTGCACTGTCAGAGGGTCAGTGCTGAATGAGTGCTGCACCGTTGGAGGGTCAGTGTTGAGGGAGCGCCGCACTGTCGGAGGGTCAATGCTGAGGGAGTGGGCACAGTCGGAGGGACAGTACTGAGGGAGTGACGCACTGTCAGAAGGACAGTACTGAGGGAGTGCTGCCCTATTAGAGGGTCAGTACTGAGGGAGTGCACACTGTCAGAGGGTCCATACTGAGGGAGTGGGCACTGTCGGAGGGTCAGTGCTGAGGGAGCGCCGCACTGTCAGAGGGTCAGCACTGAGGGAGTGGGCACTGTCGGAGGGTCAGTGCTGAGGGAGTGCTGCGCTGTCAGAGGGTCAGCGCTGAGGGAGTGCCGCACTGTCGGAGGGCCAGTACTGAAGGAGTGGGGCACTGTTGCAGGGCCATTACTGAAGGAGTGGGGCCTGTCGAAGGGTCAGTGCTGAGGGAGCACTACACTGTCGGAGGGTCATTACTGTTGGAGTGGGGCACTGTCGGAGGGTCATTACTGAAGGAGTGGGGCACTGTCGCATGGTTATTACTGAAGGAGTGGGGCACTGTCGGAGGGTCAGTGCTGAGAGAGCGCTACACTGTCAGACGGTCATTACTGAAGGAGTGGGGCACTGTCTGAGGGTCATTACTGAAGGAGTGGGGCACTGTCGGAGGGTCATTACTGAAGGAGTGCCAGACTGTCAAAAGGTTGGTACTGAGGGAGCGCTGCACCCATCAAACACTCCCAGGGACAGGGACAGCACAGGAGTTAGACGCAGAGTAAAGCTCTCCCCGCCCACCCCTGACTTGTTGCTCCTTTCCCCAAGACAAGAAGAAAACCCTCCCGCCACGTCCCCGCTGCACCCGAAGGCCATGGGCGCCCCTCCTGTTGTTGTTGTCCGGGGCATGGAGGAAACGGTGGCTGGCGGGTGAGGGAGTGGTGGTGGGTGGGTGGGGAAAAGAGGGCGGCCCGGGAAGGAGAGGTCACCACCACTCGCTCGCCCGCTCCCCCGCCACCTTGGCGCGCGCCGTGAAGGCAGGCGCTGCCATCAGCGAGGGGCCTTGAGGTGGGAGTACTGGTGCCTACGGAGATTGTCCAATCGGTTGTAGGTTCGGGAGCAGACTTCGCAGCGGTAGGGTTTGTTGCCGGTGTGGATGGTCTGGTGCGCCCGCAGTGCCGGGCCAGCGGCGAAAGATTTCTGGCACACCGGGCAGGAGAAGGGCCTTTCCCGGTGGGCACCGGTGGACGGTGACGGCTGTGGTGGCGGCGCCGGGGGGCAACGAGAGGGGGCGACGCTCTGACCAGGCGGTGGTGGAGAGCTGGGTGCTGGGGGGCTGCCGGGGCTCCGCGCACCGTGCGCCATCTGGTGGTCGGTCAGGGCGCAGGAATCCGCAAAGCTCTCCTCGCACAGGTCGCAGCGGAAGGGGCGCTCCCAGGCATGCAGGAGGCGGTGCTCCTCCAGGGCGGAGGGGCTGCCGAAGGTGGCGCGGCACTGTGGGCACGGGTGGACGGAGCCGGCGCCCTCCTCCTCCTCTCCTACCCCCTCCTCCTCGCCGCCGCGGCCTGGCTGGGGCTCATCAAGGGTGAAAGGGCGCCCCCAGGTGTGCAGGAGGCGGTGGGTCTGCAGCGACAGGGCATCGGCACAGTCCTCACCGCAAGCCTCGCACCCCAGGGGGAGCTGAGGCGCGGGGTCCCGGCGCTGGAGGACGAGGACTGGGGAGGGAGGACGGGCTGGGGAGCAGGGAGGGGAGGTGGCGGGCGGGGCGGGGGACGGGGAGGCGGGGGGTGAGGAGGCGGTGGAGGAAGGGAGTGGGGGTCGGGCGCCCGCCCGCCCGTCTCCGTCCCCGCGCCAGCGGAACGGCCAACTGCACCGGTGCTCGCTGAGCTGTGCGGCCCCCCCAAAAGACTCGCCACACGCCCCGCAGCCGTAGCCCCTTCGCTGGGTGGCATCCGGGTGCCGGGATGCCCGGTGGGCACGCAGCGAGGCTGACGATGGGAAGCCCTCGCCGCACAGGGTGCAGCGGAAGGGGCGCTCACCCAGGTGGACCCTCTGGTGTCGCCGCAAGTTGTCCAGCCGGTTGTAGCTCTTGGGGCACGCGTCGCAGCGGAAGCATCGTTCCCCCGGGCGGGCGGAGAGCCGGGCCCCCCGGGGGACAGGAGGGGGGCCAGGGGAAGCCCAGCCGTGCCCGGCGCCGCCCGCTCCACCCGGCGCGGCACACCGGTGTTTCCTCAGTGAGACGGCCTGGCTGAAGCCCTTGCCGCACAGGAGGCAGCGGAAGGGCTTGTCGGCACCCGCGGCAGGGCACCGGTGGGCAGAGAGGGCCAGGGGGCCCTCCAGGCTCTGGCCGCAGCTGGCGCACTGGTAACCGGCTTCCGCATGGACGAGCTGGTGAGCTGCGAGGGAGGAGGAGTCATCGAATATCTCCCTGCACTCAGGACACTGGTAGGAGACGTCTACGTGGGTCAGGCGGTGAGTTTGGAGCGAGGAAGAGTCATCGAAGATCTCTCTGCACTCAGGACATTGGTAGGAGACGTCTATGTGGGTCAGGCGGTGGGTTTGGAGCGAGGATGAGTCATCGAAGATCTCTCTGCACTCAGGACACTGGTAGGATATGTCTACATGGGTCAGGCGGTGAGTTTGGAGCGAGGAAGAGTCATCGAATATCTCCCTGCACTCAGGACACTGGTAGGAGGTGTCTATGTGGGTCAGGCGGTG